TTCATTTGATATTTTATTTTTCATTTTATATAGTTTATTATTTGAGTTTTTTGATTTTGTCCAACAGGTGTGCGGATGAACCTCCTGACGCTTCAGCCGGCTCTGAGAACCCTCACCTGTGATTACAACTGTCTGAAGAGACAGGTGCAGGACTTCCCTTACATGCTGGAGAAAGCCATCACCGAGGCGAAGCAGGAGGTGAGAGCATGGCATACGAGCTCACAGACACATCAGCCTGACCGCAGCTCCTCAACTGAAGCAGTTGCGTTTGTCCGTCTGTGATTACAGATCTGTCAGGTGATTGGAGAGGTGAGCAGTGCAAACCAAGAACTGCTGCGCAAATACAAGCGGGAGATGAACCTGAGGAAGAAATGCCACAATGAACTGGTGCGCCTCAAAGGTGAGACCGCCGAGATTTCTGGGAATTGTGTGGTTTGATTCATTTATGCCTAATTCTAAAGACTTCATTATCTTGTTTTTCAGGAAACATTCGTGTGTTGTGCCGAGTACGTCCCATATGTGCTGGAGACACAGATGCTGCTGACACCAAAAACATAGTGACCTTTGACCCTGATGATGATGCTGTTCTCTACTTGTCCAATAAGGGCAAGCTTATGACCTTTGAACTTGACAAAGTCTTTCCCACTCAGGCCACTCAGGAGGAGGTTAGTGCCTGAACTAGTTTTCTCATACAGTTGTATTTCCTATATCACAGTCCCCTCTCCTCTGATTGGACAGGTGTTCCAGGAAGTGCAGTCTCTGGTCACTTCCTGTATTGATGGCTTTAACGTATGCATCTTTGCCTATGGGCAGACCGGCTCTGGAAAGACCTATACTATGGAGGTACATCACATGTTCCCAATTTTCACTCTCAAACTAAAAAAGAAATATATTGTCCGTAAAGTAAACCAAGCTCATTAGGACCTTTAAGATTTTTGTGTGACCTTTAAACTTTTTTTGCATTGTGACATTTTCGTAACAAAAAATAGGCACATTACAAGAACACCTTAAAGTGTAACAAAAAATATATTTAAACTAAATTATTTATATAGTGGGATTTGTTGAGCGTGTTAATTCATATTTAATATTATTTAGAGGTTTTGTTGTACTGTCTTATAATATAAAACCATATTTTATTATTAATTTTAACACCGTAACAGTACTTTTTATTGCCCATGATGTCTGTTCCCTTTCAAATTTGTACAATGTCTAATAGTTGCATTTGATCCTGTATTTCTAAAGAATTCGCTTATGCTTTCTTAAGACTGTTTTTTTTATCAAAAATACAGTAATATTGTGATTATTACAAAATAGAATTATTAAAATAATGGTTTATTTTAATATATTTCCAAAATGCAATTTATTCCTATGATGCAAAGCCATTTTTTCAGTCTTCAGTGTCACATGATCCTTTTAGAAATCATTCTAATATGCTGATTTGCTGCTCAAGAAATA